CAGAGCATGGTTCTAGCTGCTCAGACAACTTATGTTCCGAATAGGGAAATCAGATCAAACAAAAATGATCCTAAATAGATAAACAATAGATTACAACATCTCATTGGTCAAAAGAGAGGCATATATAGGCGAATCAAAGGAGGAGAGAGGCAGTTAAGAACTCAATATATTTAGTTAAAGAGGGAAATAAAAAAGGGAATAAGAAAAGCAAAGAGAGATTATGAGGTTAAAGTTGCAAGGGAATCGAAGACTAATCTAAAAGGATTCTTTCAGGTATACAGAAGCAAGATTAAGGACAAGATAGGCCCACTCAAAAGTAGTGTAGAATTTTTAACACTTCCTCGGTTTTTACACAGGAAGATACTATCGATATTCCAGAAATAATAAATTATGTAGAACAGGACGATAATCAACTATGCACGATTAAGGTCTCAAGTGACATGGTTCTTAGACAAATAGATAAATTAAAACCTAAGAGACCCCGGGGCCCTGATGAATTGTACGCAAGGGTTCTAAAGGAATGTCAAGAGGAGTTTAGCAAACCTTTGGCTAATCTTTTCAACATATTACTACAAACTGGCATAGTGCCAGTAAGTGGAAAATGGCAACTGTGATACCTATTTTCAAAGCAGGTGACAGGTCCTTAGCTTCAAACCTATAAACCTAACTTCCACAGTGGGGAAAATTTATGGAATCAATTTCCGAGGCAATTAGTAGCCATCTTGAAAAACAAATTTACCAACAAATCTCAGCACGGTTTTACAAAAGGGCGTTCCTGCCTTGGGAATTTATTAGCTCTTTTCACTAAGGTATTTGAGGCGGTAGATCATGGTAATGAATATGATATTGCATATACGAACTTCAGCAAGGCTTTTGATGGTAGAATTAAGAGTCCTTAACTTGGAAGAGAAAATGTAAGGGCCGGAGACCATAGAGAAGAGGGATGATAGTAGGGGCAGTAATAAGGAAAGAAAGAGGGCAGAGGTGTCCAGAAAGGACAAAGTCAGTAGCGGAAATGTTTTCTACATGGAGATTAAGGTGGTGGTGGTGGTAAGAGAAGTGAAATGGTGAAAATAAATTCGGAGGACAAAGTAATGGAAGAAAGAGGGAGGTCACTGATTATCCGTGGAGGCTGAAGATGGCCCAGGAATTAAGAGGTGGAAAGAAGACGAACAAGAGAGTACATCGCTCATCGACTGCATGGGAGGACAGGAAGAGAGAAAGCAGATGGTAGAGTTTCAGAGGGTTAGGAGTATTCCACAGCAAAAACTCTGTCAAACTAACCTTTAAAGCTCAGGACAGGAGTTTATGACAACAAGCACATGACCACACGGCGCTATACTGACGCTACACTCTTATGTACTAAACTTATGAACTCCAGATGCATCCCCAAACACTTTCCCAGCTGGCTCAACTCTGGACCAGCCACAACTTCCCAAACACAAACATTAACAGTAATCCCTTCCCCCCCCTTTACCATTCCACACCCTCCACCTAACTGCCTACAATCATATCCCTAATCCCTCCTTCCCCGAGAGTAGTATGCACACCATGAAGGTAACACTAATGCTGTTAGCTGATTCTTGTATGTTAGTCCTCTTAAGTCCTGGGAATGGGGATAGGAAGGGCAGGTTGAGGTAGCATGAGAATCGGGATAGGCAGTAACATGATACCCACAGTATGTCTATACCCAGACAATGCCACTCTCTCCTACCAACTATAACTTGTAAGTTTAATTTAGTTAAGAAGCCTCTATACACTAGTGTATTATACCACCTTTTAAATATTTAAGCTAAGCTAGAGTTAGACAGTAATTTAGTTTAGTATCTACAATTACCTTTCTCAGCCTACAGAATTATCATGAGGGAGCTCTAAACCTGTAGGGATTATACAGCTCCTGGGGGGGTATGGAAGGCATTCGGGCTCAATTCAGGGAACTGGAGCACAGATCCAATTCCCTAGATCAAGAGCCCCTCACCAGCATCAAGGAACCTGCCTTAAGGGGTCAGCCAACACATACTGACAACAGAGCCCCACCACACAAGGTAGGAAGGGGCTGTCCCCACACTATACAAAAAAAAAAAAAAAAAAAAAAAGCCGTTTGAGTGAAAAGGCAGGCTACCAAACTAATTATGCCGATTCATTAACAATCTAGTTAAAAAGATCTACTTACCCTACACTAGGCTAGTAAAGTGCTCTAACATTCGCTAATACATTACAATGTGAATTAGGTAACACTTCACGGTCAACTTACATACGGAGGCGGCATCTTCTCTCCTACATAAAAGTCGGGTTGAACCAGTGACTACAAGTATCTCACAGTGTTCATAATTGAGATTGTCTACGGACTCCATACCTCATGATGGTTAGCGCCTGTTGACAGTACTTCAAATGCACATTTAAGTTAATGGAGCTGGCCACATGTAAAGGGTCTCCCATCACACCCTATCAGTTCATCAGAGATACACCTACACCCGGCATGCACTGCCCTGTGTAGATAGAGGCGAGTGATCCAGTTATCTAGAAATGGGAAAGCAGGATTCTTGGACTGGATTAAACTAATGACTTGATTGGATCAATAACCAGCCATACTCCTACACACACCCTCTATTGTACACTGCCTTGTATGGCCTGTAGGCCTTCTGCAGTGTTCCTCCATTCTTATAGGTAACACCATAATCCCGTCACTACCACCATGAAGGTAATAATAGGATGCTTCTCGCCAAGATTTACAAACTATCTTCCTTTTTTATCGACACCTGTTGAGGGTGTAACAGCTATAATAACCCACCCATCTTTATGTTATACTTCTACTGACTAGCAAGTATGTAGGCCCGCCCACCCATCCATTATGTTGGTGTAGCAATTGTAAAAACCGCCCACCCTACCACCCACACATGACAGCGTAGCAGTTATAACCACCACCCATACACCCACCCACCCAGACCATGTCCACTTCCCTCCCTCATAGTCAATGGGAAGCGCTAAACCTGCACGAATTACAGCGGCTAGGGATCTAGATTCCTTGGATCACGAGCCCATCACAGTCATCAAGTCAGACATTTCGAACATACACTTCACAATCAATATTGTCACTCCTGAACCCGTGTGTGTAAACATTAGGCTGGTTTAGAAAGACACGTAAGCAAACACTATAACATATTTATTAGAAAACGTTTCGGTTATAGTGTTATAGTGTTTGCTTACGTGTCTTTCTAAACCAACTTGTCGGTATTTATTACCAAGGTTTATACCAAACATTAGGCTGTGTATACGTATTTTATTTAAGGAGGGGTGTTAATGTTGCAGTTTAAAAACTGTAGTGTAAAGCACCCTTCTGGCAAGACAGTGATGGAGTGAATGATGGTGAAAGTTTTTCTTTTTCGGGCCACCCTGCCTTGGTGGGAATCGGCCAGTGTGATAATAATAATAAAAATAATAATCATATATAATTATCATTACTATTTATTAACATCAATTTATTAGTAGTATTCATTAATAATTATTAATTACTATTTAATATTTATCAATTATCATTATCACTTAGCTAATTATTTATTAGTATTAATAATTACGATTTATTAGTATTGATAATTACGATTTATTAGTATTGATAATTACGATTTATTAGTATTGATAATTACGATTTATAGTATTGTCAATTACGATTATATTAGAATTAATAATTACGATTTATTAGAATTAATAATTACGATTTATTAGAATTAATAATTACGATTTATTAGAATTAATAATTACGATTTATTAGAATTAATAATTACGATTTATTAGAATTAATAATTACGATTTATTAGAATTAATAATTACGATTTATTAGAATTAATAATTACAATTTATTAGTATTTATAATTACAATTTATTAGTATTTATAATTACAAATTATTACAATTAATAATTACAATTTATTAGTATTAATAATTACGATTTATTAGAATTAATAATTACGATTTATTAGAATTAATAATTACGATTTATTAGAATTAATAATTACGATTTATTAGAATTAATAATTACGATTTATTAGAATTAATAATTACGATTTATTAGATTAATAATTCGATTATTAGAATTAATAATTACGATTTATTAGAATTAATAATTACGATTTATTAGAATTAATAATTACAATTTATTAGTATTTATAATTACAAATTATTACAATTAATAATTACAATTTATTAGTATTAATAATTACGATTTATTAGTATTAATAATTAACAATAATTACTATTAGTATTATTTATTATTAATCATTAAACTGGCTATGAAAGTCGATGTTTTGGTCGTTTATGAACCAGTGTCTTTACCAACATTAATTTCCCTGTGAAGGGCTCTCGCTCCAAGGAATTATACCTGTTCTCTTCCATAAATCGAACCAATGTGCCTGGCATTGCCAAGGCACTGTATGACTCCTACGGGTGCTGCGCTCCCTCGTGAGAATAAACAACGGAAAGACTTGGACAACGACTTCCGAGGTTCAAATATGTACTTAATGGTGAAAAAAATAAGTAGGGCCAGGAGCTGGAGCTCTCCTCGACTGTTAAGCTGGTAAAAGACTGTTAGCGCATTCAGCTCACACACTGAGGTCCGTGGCTCGATCCCCGGTACGGGAGAAAACATACGATGTGTTGCCTTATGACACCTGCTGTCCACGTTCACCTAGCAGTAAAATAGGTACCTGGGTGTTAGTCGACTGGTGTGGGTCGCATCCTGGGATAAAACTGACCTAATGTGCCCGAAATGCTCTGCATAACAAGGGGCTGTCTATGTTGTAATATGTCATTGATGTCAGCTAGGACTATATACCTTGTACATGTACTGGTATTAAGTATTATGAACTGCACGAGGGTTATTCAGGCTGCGTGTCACCTGTACATCATCAGTCAACATTTTAATCCCTATAGTAGAGTTGAAGGTAAACTGTGTGTGTATACACAGAGACATACACCATCCTGTGTATGTCTCCTGTGATATGTTACCTTGACTGTCTGCTGGTAAATAAGAAGATACGAACACGCAGACAGCAATGGTCCAGAGCAGCTGCTACAACCTTCCCTCACCACCTTCACACACTTAATGATCCATCCTAGCTTCTCAGCCGCCACCACCCCCCACACACACACATACATACATACACATGCACTCTAGTTTAGGTGTGTATATTCTCTCATGCTTTCACTGTAGTACTTTCTTACACTCACAGAACCGAAGAGAAGCAAGTCAGTGCTCTGGAATATACTGGCTACTTCGTTAGGTTTAAAGTCTATCCACTACAGCTGCGTCATTAATAACGCTACAAGTCACCCGTGTACTAACATCGTCAGTACTTTAATATAAACCGAAACGTCGAAACGGTCTTTAAAGTTAACTCTTTGTATATAGTATGTGTATGTACACAAAGATATATACTGTGAGATACACTCTTGATGTACATAAGCTGCGAAATACACACCTATGTATATACACAGATGCATACCTCTCGGTATATATATATATATATATATATATATATATATATATATATATATATATATATATATATATATATATATATATATTACGACATATGTACACACCTCTTTTATGTATATGCACTGCAAGATATATTTTGTGTATATATAGAGATATACATCTTGGCGTATATATCAATGCACCACGCAGAAACAAACAGGTATATACAGAGAAAGATCGCAGTCAGCAGGATTCAAAGCCACGTCAAGGAAGGTTGGCAAGGTTCCCTGGATCACTCAGCCACAGATGCCTCAAAAGATGGCCAGGCTTGTTTACAAGCCATGTTTCTCCAAGCTTGGGCACACCAGTTTACCTCAAGCATGGTTTCAAGCTATTTCATTCTCCTCCTGTATGTTCTGACCTAACAAACGATTTTTATATCACTGCACCACGCAGAAACAAGCGGAGTATATACAGAGAAAGATCGCAGTTAACAGAATTTCTCTGTATATACCCGTTTGTTTTGCGTGGTGCATTAGTATAAAAGTTGCTTATAAAGTCAGAGCATACAGGAGGAGAATGAAATAGCTTGAGGCTTACTGGTGTGCCCGAGCTGGGTAACACATGGCTTGTTAACAAGGCTGCCCAGCTTTTGAGGCATCTGTGGCCGAGTGCTGTATAGCGTCACTTGGGGACCTTGCCAGCCTTTCCTGACGTGGCTTCGAATCCTGCTGACTGAGATCTTTCTTGGTGTATATACGCAGATACATGCCTCTCGGTTTATATACACAGAGATCAAACTCAATATAATTGTGATTGTGATATGAGGTTAGTGAACTTTAGTGAAGCAGTAAGTCTAAAGGATGTACCTCATTAGAGGGTGACATTAGTATGCATGAAGAGAGGTCGTGCGTGAAGCCTGAGATCCAGCAAGTCAGTGAGGAAGTCAGCGTACACATTAATCCCTATTCAACGCCATGTGGTAAAGAGACAATACTTTTTTTTTCACTCTACTAATAAGGGGGTTGAGTCTCAGTTGGAGGGTTCCTCCAGTCAACTTTCAATTGACTAATATTATGGAAAGTATTATTAGGCAGAGTGGGAGGGAAGCAATTGAGATGACTGGGGGGTTCACGGTACAGGTAATGCGAGACATGGGGTAAGTCTCCCAACACTCACCCCTCCTATTCACCAGGCTTACTTAAAGTGACACGTAGATGGTCATCTACTGTGGGTTATCCCCAGGATAACGTTAGAAAGTTATCCCCGGATAACTTTCTTACCTTATCCTATATTACTAAACCTCCTGGGATGCTAAGGCGAAGACAGAATTCTTCGTTTGACATGTATAATCAATTTAATTATAGTAATATCAAGCGTACAAAACAAAGTACTGAACTGAACCTGTTCACTCCTACAAAAAATAAAGAGATAAGGAAGCACACTCTACTAGCCACTGTTATCTTTCATAAACATCCACTGCCATCACCTCAGTTTAGTGGTATAAATGTTGATCATCACACGTTAATGTACACGATAGTGGCACCTAAGACGAGTTCTCTCACAAATGTGAAGTACAACTACTTGTGAGACACTACACAATTAGGAAAAGTAACAGGCACACTGGTTAAAACTTGTCAACAGTAGGCCTATTGCAGTACCTCTCATTACAGGCACATTGGTCTAAAACTCATCAACAGTAGGCCTACTGCAGTAATCCTCATTACAGGTACATTGGTCTAAAACTCAACATAGGCCAATGCGTACTTCTCATTACAGGTACATTGGTCTAAAACTCAACACTAGGCCTACTGCAGTACTCCTCATTACAGGCACATTGGTCTAAAACTCGTCAACACTAGGCCTACTGCAGTACTCCTCATTACAGGCACATATGTCTAAAACTTGTCAACAGTAGGCCTACTGCAGTATTTCTCATTTCTTGTATATCTCTCATTTAGTACCTGTCATTCATATTCTAGCAGTGAACCCTGATGATGGTGACGGACTTATCACAAAAAAGACGATTTTACATCAATAACTATCTTAAGAAATTACAAGTCTTTCCCACCAGTGAAGTTAGTACCAGATCAGCTTGGCTGTGGTTCATACGTTGGACTACGCGAGGCCAGCAGTAACAGCCTAGTTAGACTCCAGGTAACTATAAAATAACATTTTCTTTACACTAATATAAACAGAAGATCAAGGGGCTAGTAACACCTCTTGTATAGCTTACTAAGAAAAACTTTCATTTTTCTTTTAGGTAACCTTGCCTGGGTGGGATACGGCCGGTGTGTTGAAAAAAAATTAAACAGAGGTGTCACAGAATAGTCAGGACTTAAAGGTGACTGACAAGAAAATAGTTTAACAATTTGAATTGTAAGTCATAGATAGGAGGACAATATGCGAGTCACTTTCTGGAGAAGACAAGCAAGAAATGATAACTGAAGCTTGGTGAAGCATGCACAAGATGACTGAAGCTTGGTGAAGCAGGCACAAGATAACTGAAGCTTGGTGAAGCAGACACAAGATAACTGAAGCTTGGTGAAGCAGACACAAGATAACTGAAGCTTGGTGAAGCAGACACAAGATAACTGAAGCTTGGTGAAGCAGACACAAGATAACTGAAGCTTGGTGAAGCAGACACAAGATAACTGAAGCTTGGTGAAGCAGGCACAAGATAACTGAAGCTTGGTGAAGCAGACACAAGATAACTGAAGCTTGGTGAAGCATACACAAGATAACTGAAGCTTGGTGAAGCATACACAAGATAACTGAAGCTTGGTGAAGCATACACAAGATAACTGAAGCTTAGTGAAGCATACACAAGATAACTGAAGCTTGGTGAAGCAGACACAAGATAACTGAAGCTTGGTGAAGCAGACACAAGACAACTGAAGCTTGGTGAAGCAGACACAAGATAACTGAAGCTTGGTGAAGCAGACACAAGATAACTGAAGCTTGGTGAAGCAGACACAAGATAACTGAAGCTTGGTGAAGCAGACACAAGATAACTGAAGCTTGGTGAAGCAGGCACAAAGATAACTGAAGCTTGGTGAAGCAGGCACAAGATAAAATGAAGCTTGGTGAAGCATACACAAGATAACTGAAGCTTGGTGAAGCATACACAAGATAACTGAAGCTTGGTGAAGCATACACAAGATAACTGAAGCTTGGTGAAGCAGACACAAGATAACTGAAGCTTGGTGAAGCAGACACAAGACAACTGAAGCTTGGTGAAGCAGACACAAGATAACTGAAGCTTGGTGAAGCAGACACAAGATAACTGAAGCTTGGTGAAGCAGACACAAGATAACTGAAGCTTGGTGAAGCAGACACAAGATAACTGAAGCTTGGTGAAGCAGACACAAGACAACTGAAGCTTGGTGAAGCAGACACAAGATAACTGAAGCTTGGTGAAGCAGACACAAGATAACTGAAGCTTGGTGAAGCAGACACAAGACAACTGAAGCTTGGTGAAGCAGACACAAGATAACTGAAGCTTGGTGAAGCAGGCACAAGATAACTGAAGCTTGGTGAAGCAGGCACAAGATAACTGAAGCTTGGTGAAGCATACACAAGATAACTGAAGCTTGGTGAAGCATACACAAGATAACTGAAGCTTGGTGAAGCATACACAAGATAAATGAAGCTTGGTGAAGCAGACACAAGATAACTGAAGCTTGGTGAAGCAGACACAAGACAACTGAAGCTTGGTGAAGCAGACACAAGACAACTGAAGCTTGGTGAAGCAGACACAAGATAACTGAAGCTTGGTGAAGCATACACAAGATAACTGAAGCTTGGTGAAGCATACACAAGATAACTGAAGCTTGGTGAAGCATACACAAGATAACTGAAGCTTGGTGAAGAATACACAAGATAACTGAAGCTTGGTGAAGCAGGCACAAGACAACTGAAGCTTGGTGAAGCATACACAAGATAACTGAAGCTTGGTGAAGCAGGCACAAGACAACTGAAGCTTGGTGAAGCATACACAAGATAACTGAAGCTTGGTGAAGCATACACAAGATAACTGAAGCTTGGTGAAGCAGACACAAGATAACTGAAGCTTGGTGAAGCATACACAAGATAACTGAAGCAGACACAAGATAACTGAAGTTTGGTGAAGCATACACAAGATAACTGAAGCTTGGTGAAACAGATACAAGATAACTGAAGCTTGGTGAAGCAGACACAAGATAACTGAAGCTTGGTGAAGCATACACAAGATAACTGAAGCTTGGTGAAGCATACACAAGATAACTGAAGCTTGGTGAAGTATACACAAGATAACTGAAGCTTGGTGAAGCATACACAAGATAACTGAAGCTTGGTGAAGCAGACACAAGACAACTGAAGCTTGGTGAAGCAGACACAAGATAACTGAAGCTTGGTGAAGCAGACACAAGATAACTGAAGCTTGGTGAAGCATATACAAGATAACTGAAGCTTGGTGAAGCAGACACAAGATAACTGAAGCTTGGTGAAGCAGACACAAGATAACTGAAGCTTGGTGAAGGAGACACAAGATAACTGAAGCTTGGTGAAGCATACACAAGATAACTGAAGCTTGGTGAAGCATACACAAGATAACTGAAGCTTGGTGAAGCAGACACAAGACAACTGAAGCTTGGTGAAACATACACAAGATAACTGAAACTTGGT